CTGGCTTGTAATATGATGCTTGTATGACTTACTTTATTTGTAGAGTTGTGTTGTGATATCTTCCCATGAGTCCCTAATCTTGATCGTACACATTTGTGTGTATGATTAGTGTACGATTGAATCAGGGGCGTCACAAGTTGGTATCAGAGCCGACTGCCTGTAGGAATCCCCCTTCCACACTCCTTGGCCGAAGTCGAGTCTAGACATTGCAAAACTTTTACTAACATGGCTGTGTGCCTTACGGGCCCACGTCACCATCTGGGTGGTATTAGATCTTTTACTCCTCAATCCTTACTCTGGGACTCTGAACTCTCTTCTATTCTGGTTAAAATGGTTTTACTAAATCTAACTTTAGGTTCTCGATAATACTTTCTCCCGGAGAGCCCCTCATTCCAGATGTTCGCCTGCTGCACCAGAAGATTCTGAAGATACTCTATGATGTTCTCTCGAGACCTGTGCTATCGCTTTTGCAATTCTTTTTCATCGATAAATCCTTGTGGATAACTACTTACACTTGTCGTTCATATCTTCATCCCCAGTTTCCCTTGATATTACTTGATACCCTGAAAAATTCTTCGATAGTCTGAGAATCCTTTGTGCCTACCGCCTTGTGTTTCTTTACCACCTGAATACCCCTACGGATAATTTCTCGTACTTATCGAGTATCCGCTCATCCCCAATTGATCAATATATTTCACAGAAGTCTTCGAATTGCCATTCGATCTTCCGAAGATCCTCAACAACCTATTGCTTTTGAAATTCTTGCTTACAAGCATTACGATTAATCCCATAAGTCCGGTAATCTTGTTGGCATCCATTGTCATTATCATTTTGAGTCCCTTGATTCATCCTCCCGGCTCAGACGACATTTTGAACATGAGCTGGATATCGACCAATCAAATTGCCATCGGTTGTACCCCTAAAACTACTCAACTTATCCATCTCTAATCAGAGCATTGCTTCTGATCCCTTGTCTTGGAATTCACAATTCCTTTGCATTTGAACTTTGAGTTAGTCAGTTGTTTCTATAAACTGATCTCCTTGCATTCTTTCTCCCTCTGGTTGGGTACCGATGCTCACATCAGATCCCTTGTGGACCATCAGATCCTTTGTTGTATTTTATCCGACAACGTCCTTCATATTCAATCACTTTGGAAGTTCATTCCCTGATACATAATGCCATTGGTAAATCCTATTCCTTGATTGGCCAACCATGCTCTGCTTTCGAGTTGGTGATATTTACTATTGAAGCTTGTGGTATATGTCTCCATGATGCCCCGATGGGTTGAACCTATGCCTTCCTTAATATGTGTGAACTCGAAAGTTTTCACGAGTCATACTCTTCTGGTATTTTGCCAGATAAAATTTCAGCACTGCAACTTCATCAAACGCGAGAAGTGAATGAAAGGTTATACATTAAAGAAGTGGGAGTTGACCTTGAACTTGTGTTCATGCCCATGGACACGATGTATATCCTATCATAGAAACTTCTTGTAAAAATAACTATTTCCTTGATATAATATCCTTTGGTATTGGTGAATTGATCCTTTGCAATCGTGGTTTCGACCATATGTTCTTCTTTGATCCCATTTCTCGGGGAAGTTTAATCACTTGTCTTCTAGGGATCAATACACCTGTCCAACCTTTACTTTGATCTTTCGCCGAGTATTTACACCCTGGTATCTCGAGATTATCAAGGAACTGCATAACTTCTTATGGGTTCTTCATCAACTGTTATTTGTCACCCATTACACTTTTCCTGGGTTCTGGGTTGTCGTCAACCGAGAATACCAAAAACTGAATCGAGTCCGCATCACAATTAAACAACTCTTAGTAATCTTCATTACTTACGAATTTGAACTCGATCACGTAAGTCCTGGCCTGCTCGGCTATATCACTATCATGCTAAACTTTAACTGTGCTACCTGGTCCTTAATCCCGGAGCACAACTTTCGATGATGAGCTAAGCTTACGTCGATCTTCCTCGTCATATCAGTTCGCCTTGAACAACAAGCTTGATTTCAAGTTTGTGTCCTACCCATGGTTCCAATAACCTTCCGCTTCATCATTCCTTTGACCTGATGTCGTCGCTGATTGATTACATCTTCATGAAATCTCTCGACAAATGTGTCGTGGTCATCATCGACCTTATGAGCTCTTCCAGGATATCATTTGAGTTCATGATGAGAAATATTATCCTTGCCCCCGATGATTTGTGTTATCTTTGACCACTTTATTGCCTTCCGTTCAACACAAACTTGTTTGTGTTTTGTGTTATACCTTGAGTTCCCTGCTATCCAGCATTTGTTCTTCTTTACCTTGGAGTATTACCATCTTTTAATATCAAGGATGTTGTGAGGATTGCTCCACCTCTTAAGAATTCTTGGTATAGTGATACTTCTCATCATCACCATTCCTTCTTGGTCCTCGCGTTGATTCCAACCGGGGTACCAACAAGTGAACGGTGCTGTTTGGATTCTGCCTTTCTAGCAACCCTATTGCTTTGAAGTTAATGGTCGGCCATTCATTCTTAGACTATTGATTATTGAATCACCATTCTGACATTGGTCGTGCAGCCCAACCCATATTTCGGGCGCACCTTTCTACCAATGTTTAATTGTGTATGTTTTTCTCAAACATGCTTCATTATATCATTTGATCTGACAAATGCTATCTCCTTATCCACATAATTGAGGAGATGCATCTTTTTGGATACCTCGTTGAATTATCGCTGAGTCCGTCAGCCACTTCCTCATCCTCTCCTTGGTTTAATGATTAACTCTGGTTTCGGAACTTCCTTCCATGGTTCATTTCCCGGGAATCTTAGGATGTCCTTGCGTTAATTTGTGTTGCATCTTTTCTTCTCGGGCATCCTGAGTCTGAGTTATCCTGACACCAATTAGATCTGAATCTCGGTCAGATATGATGGTTAGAACATATTTCCAGGAGTTATAACATTGATCCTTATATGACCCGGTAAGGCGATGTCATGCCTAGCACACCTGGCCGGAGGACCTATTGTTATAGTTTCCTTTTTGGCAAGGTTAGTCATCCTTCGGTGTGGAAATTGTAAGACTTATCCTATAAGTTGTTCCTGATGGATCCTTTTTGTTTCCAAAGTCTGATCTTCACCGGATGACCATGTCAATGCTATCTCAAAGCAAGTCCATGGTACTCCGAATCTGAACAGGAACAATTGAAGCCCAATGTTAAATGTTTCCTGCTCAATTATCCAAACACCGTTGTATGGATAATGTCATGAAAATTCTCTCCCGTACCTAAAGAGTTTTCTACGTTGTATCCTGTCATAGATATCATGCTCTGCTTGCCCTTGGGAAGGATATACCACTGAATGTGTTTAAACACATTTTTCCTTTCCATTGTTCTGTTTAACCTGATGATCACGTTTTCCTTTCCATTGGTTTGTTTGACCTTTCTGGTGATATTTATGATCTAAGCAGTATTAATTCCCTGCTTATGTTAACACCTCCGTGTACAATTCTGTCAGTAAGACCCTGTTGCTTTTGTTGATGACATTCTGGTAACCACCGATGGACGAGAACCTTGCCTATTGGTCCGCCTCGTTCAACGAGCGGGAAAATGGTTCTCTTCGTCCCCTGCCCTTGGTACCGACGCTATTGCCGACATAACCGACAGGTTATGGTCTGACCTGCATGGTTATCATAACCATGCAAGATGACACCACTCTTTCTGTCTTTAACCCACATGGTGGGCCCAAAACCCACATGTCCCAGGATCGAAACTTGACTCCCCTGTACACCCTGTTGCCAAAGATATTCCTCGCGCTTGACTTGATATGTAATTCGCGAGCCACCTTCCTAGTGATCTACTCTGGTATCAGGCGCAATACTTATCTCGTGCCCTGAAACCCTTTCACCTTCTAATTAGGCATCGAATGATTGCCTATCCGCTTGATACTTCTTACTATACCTTCTTGCTTGGCTCTCGATGTGTTTCATTTGACCAACTCGAGAGATACCCCTGTGTTCATTCATGGGATAACCCCCGATGGTTAACCCTTATAGCATCCTATCGTTGTAGAGCTGCCCCTTACATATTCGTTAGTACGATGGAGTTCCCCGAAGAAAGGACGACAACTTCATCATGATGACATGAAGTAGAGGAATGAAGACATCAATGTCATGGATCGACCTCTTCGAGAAGAGCAACTATGACCGAGAAGAATCGTTAGAATTTCGTAACTAGATCCCTTCCCCCCTGTAACCGCTCCTAAATCTCGGGACGAGATTTCTTGTAGTGGAGGAGAATTGTGACGCTCAGATAATTAAACTACAGTAATCTTATGTTAATGCGCCAGGTCATCGCGATTACTGTTGTTAAACTCGCGTTGATTCGAATCCGGTCCAAATTTCAAATTCAAATTAAAGTCCAAGATTCAAATTTCTCAAACCTGCAAAATAAAATGTTCAAAGTGTGGCAAATCTTCCATATCCAATTATGGTACTGACTCAACATTTTTGTAAAAGTATTTAAATGCTCTTTTGTGACTAAAGAAGTGACTAAACCAATTATTAAATGCCTTTAAATAATAAACAAATACAAACATGTTTTATTATTGTGCCAAATTAATTATGGCAGTAGCCTAAATAGTAATACTAATTTTTGGGCTAGGATTATATTTTACAAAGCTAATAATAAATAAATGAAAGGAAACTTAATTGAAAACAGAAACTAATAGAAAGAAAAACAGAAAGGAGCAAAACTAAAAAAAGCCTACACTATGCACACTCCCAAAAACACCCGGTCCCCTTCCCCTTTTCATCGATCAAGGCGTGGCGCCCATCCCCTACCGCCATGGCTGCGCCGTGGACACGAGGCGCCCATCCGTCGGCTCTGCGTGCTGGATAAGAGCATCCCGACGCCCCTCCCAGGCAACCCTAGTTCTCATTCCCCTTCTTGCGTCGTTCTCTCGCGGACGACATACACACGCACCGCGGACGCCATGGTCGATCTCGTACTCATGGCCACCATGCTCCCCGGCGTTTGGGATGATGACCAGGAGCTTCATCGCCGACATGTACATCGCCTACAACCTCCAGTTCGAGCTGAAGCCCTCCACAACCTCGCCATCCAGTCGTCTTCCCCACCACGGCCACGGCGCCATCACCGTCGATCTCCACCACCGATGCCTCCCCGCGGTTCCGAGCACGTCCACGACCTCCCTCGAAGTGAGCCGCGTCCATTCCCCCTCCTTGCCGCCTCGATTTGTTGCCGTAGCCGCCGTTCCCGAGCACACCCGAGCTCTCCTGTACGCGTACGTGTGTGTCGTGCTGCTGCTTCTTGCCGATGCTACTTTGCACTGCTGCCGCCTCCGGCTACTGTCGCCGTCACGTTCGTCGCTGCTTCCCATGCTCGACTGACCACACGCGCATGCCTGCGTCGCTGTACTCGACCGGCCGCGCGCTGGCCGTCCTCTGGCCACGCCTCGCGCGTGCACGCGCGCCCGCGTATCTGCTGCTCCTCCTAGCGAACTGCTACTCTACGTATTGCTGATGCTCTGCTCCAGCTAAGCTGCTTGCGCTGCTTAGTTGCTACTGTCGCTAGGTGCTGCGCTTGCCTGCAATCCACTACTATTCGTCGATGCCGCCTCACGCTGCCGCCGCTGCTACGGCCGGCCATGGCCGAGCGGTGTGTGAGTGTGTGCCTCGTGTGTGCGTACTGTGTGTGTACGTGAGGTGTGTGCTCTGTGTGTGCGCGCGCCGTGCGTGTGGCCGGCTTGGCCATGGCCGGGGCGGCTTCATCCGTCGCTGCTCTACTGCTGCTTGTCTGCTTCTAGCCACAGCTGCTACCCTTTGTATACTACTGCAAGTACTGTAGTGGGTAGCTAGCTTTTGTATTTCTACAATGACTAGCCTTCTAAACTGCCACTAAACAGCGATAAGACAAGTCCTAACATGGGTAAAAATTATATAAACGAAAAGTAGACGTAATAAGCCTCATTTTGTTCCATTGGACCTGCTTCAGATAATTCACGGATTAAATACTACAAAAATCACAAAATGCTATCTTGTGTTAAAAGGAATAGAGTTACTCCCTAGCATAGTGTGTGTACGTGAGTGCGTAGTGTGTAGGCACCACAGCCGTGTGTGGCCGGCTATGCCACACCCTGGCCAGCCTTTTAGTTAGTTTATAATTAGTAGTACTAGCTAATTTATCCAATAGTAGATGAAATGTGGACCCACTAATGGTTTAGAGAAAAACAAAATTTAAAATAATTGTCTAAATCAACGACATGTGGCCCCGTATACTGTTCATATATTGACTAGTCAATCTTTGACTGGGTCAACCTAACCCCCTGGCCCCACTGTCATACACTATGAGACAAAATTATTTTACTGTGTAATTTATAAATATAAATAAATTCAAAAAAAAAAATATAAAATAAATCGTAGCTCAGATGAAAATACTTTCTACATGAAAGTTGCTCAGAACGACGAGACGAATCCGGATAAGCAGCCCGTTCGTCCGCCACGCATCCCTAGCATACCGAATACGCAACTTTCCCCCTCCGATTCATCTGTCCGAAAACGCGAAACACCGGGAATACTTTCCCGGATGTTTTCCCCCTTCACCGGTACCACCTCGTACCGTGTTAGGGTACACCTAGCATCACGCTTTGTCATGGCATGCATCGTCATGCATTTGTTTGCATTATATTTATTGTTTCTTCCCCCTCTTCTCTCGCTAGACACCGAGACTGACGCCGCTGCTACCCAGTACGACTACGGTGTTGACGACCACTCTCTCTTGCCAGAGCAACCAGGCAAGCCCCCCCCCCTTGATCACCAGATATCGCCTACTCTCCTCTATACTACTTGCATTAGAGTAGTGTAGCATGTTACTGCTTTCCGTTATCCTATCCTGATGCATAGCCTGTCCTTGCTACTACTGTTGTTACCTTTACCTGCAATCCTAAATGCTTAGTATAGGATGCTAGTTTACCATCAGTAGCCTTACATTCTTGTCCGTCTGCCATGCTATACTACTGGGCCGTGATCACTTCAGGAGGTGATCACGGGCATATGCTATATACTTTACACTGTTACATTACTAGTGATACTGTTTGGAGATGGGGGCTGAAGGGGCAGGTGGCTCCATCCAGGTAGTGGTGGGCCTGAGTTCCCGACGGCACCCGACTGTTACTTTCAGGCGAAGCGACAGGGCAGGTTGAGACCACCTAGGAGAGAGGTGGGCCTGGCCCTGGTCCGCGTTCGCGCATACTTAACACGCTTAACGAGATCTTGGTATTTGATCTGAGTCTGGCTACTGGCCTATACGCACTAACCATCTACGCGGGGACAGTTATGGGCACTCGACATTGTGGTATCAGCCGAAGCCTTCGTGACGTCAGCGACTGAGCGGCGCGCGCCGGGTTGGACCGCGTAACGCAACTTCCTTTGTAATGGAGGTTGCTAGGTCTGCTCTCCGGCCGCGTTCGCAACGTGCAGGTGTGCAAAGGGCGATGGGCCCAGACCCCTGCGCCATAGGGTTTAGACCGGCGTGCTGACCTCTCTGTTGTGCCTAGGTAGGGCCGCGACATGTTGATCTTCCGAGGCCGGGCATGACCCAGGAAAGTGTGTCCGGCCAAATGGGATCGAGCGTGTTGGGATATGTGGTGCACCCCTGCAGGGAAGTTAATCTATTCGAATAGCCGTGATCTTTGGTAACAGGACGACTTGGAGTTGTACCTTGACCTTATGACAACTAGAACCGGATACTTAATAAAACACACCCTTCCAAGTTCCAGATACAACCGGTGATCGCTCTCTCACAGGACAGCGAGGGGAGGATCATCGGTTAGGATTATGCTATGTGATGTTACTTGGTGAACTTACCATCTACTCTCTTCTCCTGCTGCAAGATGGAGGTTACCGGAAGCGTAGTCTTCGAAAGGACTAGCTATCCCCCTCTTATTCCGGCATTCTGCAGTTCAGTCCACATATGATAGCCTTATTCCAGTTGATACCAATGCATACATATGTAGTGTAGCTCCTTGCTTGCGAGTACTTTGGATGAGTACTCACGGTTGCTTTCTCCCTCTTTTCCCCTTTCCCTTCTACCCGATTGCTGCGACCAGACGTTGGAGTCCAGGAACCAGACGCCACCGTCGACGACGACTACTACTACTCGGGAGGTGCCTACTACTACGTGCAGCCCGCTGACAACGACTAGGAGTAGTTTAGGAGGATCCCAGGCAGGAGGCCTGCGCCTCTTTCGATCTGTATCCCGGTTTGTGCTAGCCTTCTTAAGGCAAACTTGTTTAACTTATGTCTGTACTCAGATATTGTTGCTTCCGCTGACTCGTCTATGATCGAGCTCTTGTATTCGAGCCTTCGAGGCCCCTGGCTTGTAATATGATGGTTGTATGACTTACTTTATTTGTAGAGTTGTGTTGTGATATCTTCCCGTGAGTCCCTGATCTTGATCGTACATGTTTGTGTGTATGATTAGTGTACGATTGAATCGGGGGCGTCACACATACGTCAGATTGGAGAAAGACTAGAAGCAAGACTCTGTCACACTCAGGAATACCTGAGAGAGGTCCATGCAGAGATGATGGAGATGAAGCTCATGGCCACCATGATGAAGCAAAACATCGACGATTTGAAGGATCACATCGCACAATTCTAGTGGGACTAAAGCATTTTCAAGAAGGATGAATGAATAAAGATGGAAGTAATGCTTGACCATACCAAACTATGTGGATGGCAGCTTTTGTAATAGAGTACTTTTGAAATTTGAGTTTTGAGTAGTGGTTAAGGATGTAATAAAGGATTTGATATGAAGAGAATTATGGATGAACTAGTGCATTTTTTTGGCTATACTTGTCTGTGTGAACACTTGACCAATGGAAAAGGAAATGTATTCCATAGAGTGAAGTTTAGAGAAATGAGTTGGAGTTTTATTTTAGTTATGATGGTTACCTCAAGAGTATGAAGGAATGAAGTACTATTGGATTTAAAGGAGATATAATGTTGGAATATGGAACAATAGTAACTCCAAGGATGAGTTAAAGTTATACAAGTGTTGAAGTGGGCCATAACCCACAGGTCCCAGGATTTGATAAGGAAACAAGCACAATCTTGTTGAAGAAAAGAATTCTAGAAGAAGCTGTGATTTCATCAACAGATGTTTCATACGAGGTTACGTAAACCCGAGAGTTGTGAAGAAATGATAGGGATTTTGTTTGGCTTGCGGAACCAATGGATTTACCCGAACCCAGTTCGTGGAGAAGAGAAGTTCTGCAATGCTTGTGAGGATGCCCAAGTGTTAGAAAATGTGATTCACTATCTGCGTATGTAGTAATGATTCAAGTACGGGATGGATTGGCCCCCATACCGGAGACTTCTATCATGAGCTATCATATTTTGATGGAAAATCAGAGAGCCTTAAAACCCTAGAAGAGTGTCGACATGACAAGCCAAAAGCCTTAGAATGGCAGGATGATGGAAACCCTATACAGGCACCTATTGCCAATCATAGGTTATGTGGTGAGGTTCAGCCTAGACCCATTTCCTGCGGGAGGAACCATTAATTGTCGACCACCATGAGATTTTCGATAGTTGTTTAGCATTGGCGACAGCCTGACAGCTAAGAAGACCCAGTCTCGAAAGGGTCATATTTTGATGCAAGGACTCAAGATTTTGAGGAAAAGGTCATGCCCTTACCTGAAGAGCCTTAAAGAAAGAGTTACTCTAAGGAGTATGAGAAGACCGACATCGCCAATGCAAAGGATGGAGTACATGAGTTTTGTTGGAACCATGACCATACTTCTAAGGGTGGTAGCACCCCATACCATGTGTTGATGAATGGATTTTCAAGGAGACCCCCAAACCTAACCTTCTTTCTAGCCTCTCCGAATCTCGAGGATGAGATTCATTTTACGGGTGGTAGTTTGTAACATCCCAAAATTCTAAATTTTGGAATGTTATATTAAATAAATAATTGTGATTGTTTGTTTGATTTTTGTGTGATTGATTGTGTGAAACTGAGTGGAAATTGAAACTTTTTGAAAGTTGAATGGGAGGGAATAAAAGGACTTACCCAAAACTTTCATCTTGCATTTTGATATCCAAGAATTCAAATTCATTTCATCACAAAACCCCAGAGTGAAGATAATATGACTTCTTCCATTTAAAGAAATGAAAAGGGGTTTGAAAATGATTTGAATTCCATTTGAAAC